TATAAGAAAATATTGTCATGTTGAACCTGGCCCGAAGAGATTAAGCTAATCATTCTGTATTGTCCTCATATTGTATCCTTTCACTCCATTCACCGCTATTGCTGTTTTAAGCAATTATAAGGGGTCAGCTTGAGGCCTGAGCAGCGAAAATTAGGAAGGCGAGGCGCGGGAAAAGCGAAAATAAAAAGACGAGAAAAATCATTTTCGGTTATCTTTTCATGTCACACAATCACAAAACCTAACCCTAACCTCCTAACCAGTGATATTTCCAATCTCGTTCCCCGAGCGTGCGATCCTCGGGAAGGAACGTGAGGGTCTGGGATAATCCGTTTCAGGGAGGAATCTGATTGGCCGTTGAAATGGAATGCGTAGTTCAATCTTAGCCAGGATTCCTAGCTTCCGGCAACGGATTATCCCAGAGCCTCGTGTTCCTTCCCGAGGATCGTGTGCTCGGGGAACGAGATTGTGATATTTCGTGACTGCGTGACCATTCTCGTACCTCTGGCCAAATCCATATTCCGAACTGGCATCTGATTGGCTAGTTCTAACACCGGACATTGTTTTCTTACCATGTTTTTATGGTATGCGGTTATGGGGGCATCAAGCACATCTCGCTATTCATTTAAATATATTCAGAACAGTGGTGCACTTTATTCAGGTGTATATAGAGTTCAGTGTTTCACTGACTCCGGGTAGGGATTAAACTGGGGGAGGGGTCACTGGGTGAGGGTCTACTCCGTCTAATGCAAGACAATTTTACTCGTCAAGGGAGAGTGCTGCTTTATCATTTTACTCCGTGTATAAATGCCAGACAATTTTACTCGTCAAGGGACTCTGATCAGATGGATTATACTAAAACGAAACGTTGCATCAAGCGCGTTTCGCCATGCATTAAAATATATTCAGGTCAGTGATACGCATTCGTGTATAACAGTCATGCGCATTTACGATATACATTAAATTTTGATCCAGGTAAAAAGTCATATTTTAGCCAGAAAAAGCGTATCGAAATTAGTCTAAGTATAAAGTTTCAATCGAACTGGGGTTGATTTCGTGGCATCATCGTGAAACTCGTCTACTTTATTGATTAAAGGATGAACAACCTCGTTCCCAGGTTCTTTCCTCTTGGCCAGGGGAGAAAAGACCCTGGTACACACGTAAAAATCTCACAACTTGTCAACAAGATGTGTCCGCAACAGGCCTGTAGCAAGCTTGTTAGTAAGTTGACAAGTTGTAACAATGCTGTTATTTTATCAAGTTGCTACAAGGTTGTCACTCACAACTTGTTGACAAATTGTTGAATTGCAGGACGATAACTTGTAACAAGTCTGTTGAGCTCAACAACCTTGTAGCAAGTTGTCAACAAGCCGTTGACAACTTGTCAACAAGCTGGGAACAAGCAGTGCGAACACATCCTGATGACAAGTTGTTGGAACAGCATTGCTACAAGTCTGCTGCGTGTGTCTGCTGGTCACGTGATCTGCTAAAATCTAGCAGATTTTTAATTAGCAATCCAAGATGAGGTCAATAAATATTTGATATTTGGATGGTTTTTATAGTTTTTATAGTTACATTTTGTATGATTGTCGCAAAGGAATCCAAGATAGTTAATCAGAAATATGCTAGATTTTAGCAGATCACGTGACCAGCGTGTCACGCAGTCACGAAATATGATTGGTTTATAGGAGGTTAGGGATAGGATTAGGTTTCGTGTTGCGTGACATTAAAACATGAGGGTATGAAGTTGAGGAATGAATTGAACCTCAGAACCTACTTGACATGCGCACGTCTACTCCCGTCCCACAAGCGCTGCGTGGGGAAACAAAAACCTATATAGATACGAAATGAAACTAATGTAACATTGAGGTCCGTAGGTAGACGGCATAGATATAGGAGACCTAGATTGCTGACTCTAATGTTTTCTATAATGCACGCGCGTGACACTCATGAGCATTCAAAATGGCGGCTCAACCGGGCAAAAATCATAGAGCGAGATAGGGAAAAACCATGTTTTTTGCATTTTGCGTCGTCCTACAGCTTCCGATCCCGTTATATCACTTTATTTTGGAAAGAACTAACTGGTGTGAAGGTTTTGGATGAATATTTGTGCAATTTAAGTTTAATAAAGACGAAATAATCGATCGCTAAATGTTTTCTGAAATCGTCACAATGGTCGGTTGAGCAGTTCGAGACATTTTGTTGCAGAAAATAAAGGTTTTGGTTCTTTGGGTGCTTTTTTCTCGAGGATCTCGGTTGGGATATTTAACAAGGAATAATTCTGTGAAGTATTTTGAAGTTAAAGCCTATTTTACTTGATTTATTTGGTCTGCTGACTGCTGGTGCGAAAATTCTGATGCTCTGTTTAGTGTGACTTTGACAACCTCCTTGCTGCTGCAGATGTCAAGGGATCTCAAGTCTATAGGGCCTGGACAGTGAAAAGTGATGAATCAATCAGGTTTGTAGAGAGAACTAGTGACAAAGAAAGTTTTCAATCGAAACTAGTTTGAAGAAACTGCCTAATGTGTCTGGTATGCATCAAAAACCTTCACAGTTAGTATCTAGTTCTCTCCAAGAAACCCGATTGATTCATCATTGATAATCAAAAATAGATGGGACGGCATCTTCGTTTAGATATTTCTTGGATTGGCATTTTATTGATTGCTCTCTGCAGTCGGCATTCTTCCCTTCGGACACTCTCCCCTTGAGACAGCTGACCCAAGCATCAGCACTCTCCCCTTACGAGTAGAATTGTCTGGCGTAGCCAGAGTAAAATAATTAAGTAGGGCACAAAACGACTCAATGGATTAACTATACACATTTGCAGGTAGGCCAGTTAACCCATTAAGTGCCACTGCTCTCCTCTTGATGAGTAAAATTGTCTGGCGTTAGACAGAGTAAAATAATAAAGTAGGGCACCTTGCAACACCATGGATTAATATAATCATCGGGTGTGAAGTATAATCATCCGGTGTGAAGTGTTTCTCACACAAGAATGAATATTTGATTGGCATTGAGTCTGCCCATTTCATTTTTTAGCAGGCTGGGATTGGTTATAGGAAATCCAATAGTGCAAAGGGAAAGATGTATTTTTGGTTCACTGATGTGAACAAAACTAAAACATTTTTGACTTTGAACAGGACAAGGAAAGTTGTTGTCAACATGCATATATAGAGAGAGAGACTCTCCTAACACAGACATCAAAACAAGAAGTTCTTTTTTGGGCTAATATTCTTTTATTAAAACTGTAAATAGTTTTATATTGTAGCTGCCAAACTCAAAACTACATTTGTTGTGACGTTGTCATTACAGTATTTACAAAACAAATTCTTTTTATTCTATTATTATTCTGTTTATATGATGTAAGTTATATACTTATAGTGTACAAATATGTGATGTGTGTGTGTTTCATAGACTTACTTATGGAAGGAAAATCGAATAACATCCCACGTCTGTCTTGTAGTAATACACTGAACACGATTCTGGCCGACTTTCAAGCATTCTTTTCGATAAAAAACAACCCAGATGGAATAGAAGCCCTAGAATTTTCAGATGAAATCATGAAAATACTGTATTTTGGTCGAAATAACAATGAAAGAACAAAATAAACAGTAATAGCTTTTGGAATAGTTAGAAATATATAATATTACTTGAGAAAAACTCGTAAAAGACTGAAGGAATACACAGGAAGAAACTAAAGACGAAACCCGCGCGAAACTGCAGGCCTGCCCAATCTTGCCCGGTTGAATCGTAATTTGTATTAACCATGGTATAAAATTGTACTGATTGTACAAATTTTCATCCAAAACCTTCACACTAGTTAGTTTTTTCCAAAATAAAGTGATAGAACGCGATCGGAAGCTTTAGGACGACGCAAAATGCAAAAAACATGGTTTTTCCCTATCTCGCTCTGTGATTTTTGCCCGGTTGAGCCGCCATCTTGGATTTTCAAAATATGTCACGCCGGTTGAGCCGAGTCAGCAATCTAGGTCTCCTATATCTATGGTAGACGGTTATCCACAATTTGATACTTAACCCGTCTCCTCACCATAGACCTCATTCTCTTATACCCTTCAACTTTTTCTTCCAAAATCATTCCTAAAGAAGCAGTAGCCTCGTCCATCTCTGTGGAGTTGGGGTAGACGACAATGGAGTAGATGTTATGCGTTGATACGATTTCGGCCAAATGGGATACGTTCCCAAAATCAAAACGGATGGCGACTTGTGCCGGCGCTTCTTTCCTGTTGCTTTGAAGTGTAAATCCGCGATAAACGGCTACTATGCCGTCTTCGTGCAGAAACACAAGTCATATAGTCACACAGGCGTCGGTCTCAACCAGGGCGCTTATATAGATAAGCGCCCTGAGTCCCTGACGTTGTGTCGCCATCCGTCAGAGCCAACTGTACGAGTCTCGTATTTGTATAGGTCACACTTCATGCATGTGGCGCTTGTGGGACACGATTGAACCCTAGTGTGAACATTCAAGCTTGTGTTTTCTTTAAAGCTTTACATGGCATTCATAATAAAAATAAGGAACAATTTGTGGTTACACCATGTATTTAATTTAATTTTTAGTTTATTTTATTTCTTTCTAATTATTTATCAAGCCCGGCGTTTGTGTTGCATATGACTGTTATCAACCGATGCTAAGGACATGAGGTTGATAACATAAAGCGAGGGCCTGATAATTCTTCATATTGTGCTTTTACCAAAGCACAGAAATTATACCAAAGAAAACCAAAGCATATCGTTCAAATCAATGGTCCGCGCATGCGCATGTCAAGTATACTCCATTAGTTTCTTACAACCTACACATTTATTTTTTATTTTATTTTTTATTTTTCCTTGCTGTTTGGTAAATATATATCCTTGTTGTAACGTAAATATATATTATTTTATGTACACAAGAAAATATATTTCTAAAATAATGAAATACAATATTTGTCAGCGGATGATGCCATTGCCTTCCCAAATAGAAATGTAATATTAATATAAACAAACGTAACTTTTTGAATTTTACACCAAATTTTATGATGTTTTTATGCAATTTCTTGACTTATGACCACTGCAAATGAATGTTCAAGACCTAGGACATTAAGTGCAAGTAAAAGGCTGTCTAAAAGGAGTACACAACGTGTGCAAAATGCCACGGAAGAGCTACAAAAGTACATTGAACAATTTACGGATGCTGAACAAACAAACCCTGCAGCGACGCCAATTTCTCGTTGCTACGGAAGCTCAAATGTCACTTTGTTGTCAACGAAACCTAAATCCTTTTCGTCGCCAAAAAAGCACAGCAGAAAGGCTGCAATATCTCCAGAAAAGCAAGGGAAAATGGTCGACAATTTGGTTCAATGGGTTAATGAATCTTATTCAAAAGATTTGCAAAGAAAGATCGTCCCTTTTGGACAAAGGAGCAATTCAAGTGTGGACATTAATGGCCTCAGTCAAACAGATGGTATATAATTGAATCGTTTGTGTATATAATATGTCAAAAAAAATATTATAGAGTTCTTTTAGTTTGTAATGGTATAATTAAAATGCCGTTTTTATATGCTTTTCTGGTGATTATCTTTTGGTTGTTTTGATAGGGTACTTGATAAGTTCTAACAACCTAATAAAGAGTCAGGGTTATTAATTGTTTTATTAGCACCTAAGTTCCAGGGCAAAAATACTTCATCAGAGAGCATCGACATTTGTTGTGCTTTGCAGACTGGTTTGATTCTTCTTTCCACTCTTCTAGGGAATGGTGAGTCATATGGTGATGAAGTTTCAACTATATCTGATGGTGATGTTCAACTCTCCACCCTCCCCTCCCCTGGTAGTTCAGTTGCATCAGATCTTGACAGTAATGTGGGCAGTATGAGCACTGATATGTTGGTCAGCAGTTTTTATAGACACAATAACTCCCAACTGTCACAAGGTATGTAAAGACTGATTTACACTACACAACTTGCCTGAAACTGTCACATGCAACCTGATTACAACTTGCATTGTACTGTGTCACTGTAAATCAAGCACACAACTCATCTACATTGACGTAGGTGAGTTGTGTGCTTGATTTACACAGTACAACTCAAGTTATAAGTAGATTGTATGCAACAGTTTTAGGCAAAACTTGTGTTGTACAAATTGGCCTTTAATTAAACTTCTGTTATACTCATGGATATCTCAATCTGTTTCCTCCCCCCCTCTCAGTAAAGGACATTTCCTCCCCCCCCCCACAGTGGCTGGCATCTGACTATAGAGGAAACAGGAACTAAACTTCACTTCACTTTTGTTAGGAAAGGCAATGAGCCATCCTAGTTGGGTTGAAGAGTTGGTCACAGCAAAACATTATCCCAGCTGGGTAGATGACATTGATGAAAGTCGTGCACATGACCGAGATGTCAGGCGTAATCAAAGGTAGGTGACATTTTGAACACACCCCCCCCTCCTCCCTGGCCTCTATTGCTCTCAGTTGGTTAGGGCGCTGCACCGGAATCGCAGGGCCACCAGTTCGAGTATAAAAATTCACACTTGACATTTCCATGACAAAACCCTTCTACAACTCTAAACTGGCTTATTCTGTATTTCCTTTTCCTAGAAATCGTTTGTCAAGATCCCTATCACCATCATTTTTCCAAGAACACCCTCCCCTCTCCCCCACCCCTCAGTCTCCCCTCTCCACATCACTCCAGGATCACCCAATGGAGATCAGTGACCCACACCAAAAGAAGAGTAAAGCCTGGGACCTAGAAAGTACAGACACCGAAGTTTTAATTGGTGAATCAATCTACGGTCGACAACCTGTTAATATGGGGGGAGCGTTTCATAGTTCATTGTATCGGGATAAAAAGATCCAGCAACTATTTGATCATAGTGTGAGAAAATTTGGTAAGTTCAACATAAGTCAATATTCCAATCTTATGTTGATTATACACAAGGTGTTGTTGCCCAGTATACCAGAAGCTCATGATACATGTGCTTGAGAACTGAGACGTTTTTGGTCAAAAACCAGGGAGCCCAGAGAAATTAGTCTCTCAAAGCACCTTAGTTAAGAATCACTCAACTACAACTCTACTTACATGCATTTTTAGGCCTTTTAGTTTTACAATCAAGTTTTCAAGCAGAGCTAAGTTATACCCAATCTAAATAAGTCCTCCAGCCTTGCCACATACCCACTGATGAAGAATCTTTGCTCAAAATATTTGATATAATGGAATTGCGTTTCTCTTTCGTTAGCAAAGGATTCCGAGCGATCACTCGTTAAAGAAATGTCTTTTGCACAATCTCATGTTGATGATGGAAAAACAACTGGACACCCACCACAACGCTTCACAAAACCAACAAAAATGTCAAATTCAAAAACTTCCATATCCAAACATACCAAGAAAAAAGCTGGACCTCCGATGCAAACTTCTAAATCATTTCCACACGATGGAAGAACTCAAAATGTCGCTGAAAATAATTTTCAACCTAGTCGTAGTTTTAACAAGAACGTTTATACTAGTGCCAATAGACCTTCCTCATTGAGTTTACCAAAAGCCCATGATATTAAGTCGAGTTCAGAAATTCGAAAAAACTCAACAGACTCGTCCAATACGGATAGACTTATGAGAAAAAGTCCTACTGGGATTCAAATGGCAAAACAATATACTGGATCAAGAAATATTGAAAATTCAACTGGGAAATCTAGGAGAAGTAACAAAGATGACAGGATTTCTACACAGATTCCTTCTCCAAGAGTTCGACCTACTCCAAATATGCTTTATTCCAGCAAAGATTTCCATACTCCGGATATCAAGACTGCTTCAAGGGGTAGTCCAAATGTGCCACATTCTGCTAAGAACGTCCGCACTTTCAATGGTGATATCTCACCAAGGCGTAACGCTAGCGACGAGTTGCAGAGAATCATTGATCAAGCTGACTCCACTGAAGTGCTCAGACAAAGGAAAGACCATTATCTCAGTGGAAACGTTTCCAAAAAAGATTTAACTCTACAAGATAGGAAGCAAATTTTTAACAATCATGCTAGAATACATGCTTCCACAGTCAGCCACACTAAACGAACTGAACATAACAACAATTACTCCACAAAAGGGTACCTCCACCCTACAAGAACAGACCCCCGCAATTTTTCTCAACGGAGATTAGTACCCTCGGGGAAATATGACAGGCAGACTGCCTGGAATGAGAATTCCTCTTTCGGCAACCACAGTGAATCCTACGAGAGAAGTTCCCTTAGGACAAAAATCCCCAGGAACTCAGACCCTACGAAGTTAGACCTAGGTACTAAAATTCGTGATCACAAATTAAGATCGCGAACTAAATCTGCGCCTAATATGAAAGATGGTCATATGGGGTCGTCTTCACCAGAGCGCAGAGAAGGATATAGGAGAAGTCTGAAAACTCGTAGGAGAGACGTGAATTATGCTAATAAGGGAAACATTTTAGCCGCTGATTATTCGAATGACGGAAGAATTTCAGACGCTGATTATGCTAATGAGGACGTTTTGCACGACGATACGGAATCGGTAGATACAGAAGCGCTAATAATAAAACCACCAATGCTGCTTTTTGACGCAAGTCCCTCGCTTACTACAGAGAGTGCAGAAACTACTGAAGATTCAGAAGAGAGTGGCGATACATTGATTGAAAATCTTGCATTGAGAACCTCATTCTTAGCCACTGACCTTCAGTCCTCATCTGGGACTAGTTATCTGGAGTTATCTCCTAAGCGAGATATTGGCCTGGATTGGGAAGATGAAAAGCCACCAAATGCGAGGTATATGGTAGATACATCGAAATCTGTATTTGTCAGAGAATTAAAACACTTATGAATTATTTTTATTACTAGGCTTAACACCAAACCTGGGATTATAACGTCATTCCTTGAGGATTGTATGCGGAACAGTCAGGAGGTAATGCAAGTAAATTTTCTTAAGTATGTCTTATATAAGTACTATTTAAAACACGAGCAGGAGTGATTTATCAGATATAAAACACGAGGCGACAGTCGAGTATCTTATATCTGATAAAGCATAGACTGCGACTGTTTTACTGTCGTTCCAATTGAAGTGTTCCTCAAATATTGATTCAATACATTACCTCGGGCTGACCAATTCATACGAATGCAAATTTCTTTTTACTTCCTGTGCTTAAAAGTAACAGGAAGTTGATCAATTTTCTATCAAATGAATTGGTCAGCCCGAGGTAATATATTGAATCAACATTTGAGGAACACTTCAACTGGAACGACAGTAAGTGGCTTAAAAAACGACTCATTTTTTTAACACATATTAATCACACGCTAGTGGATATATAGATTATTAAAGTGTTTTTCAAGTGCATATTAACAAGTTTATATTGGAACGAACGTATATAAAGATTGTTACGTTTAAAAATTCACTATTTGTTTAAAAAGGTATTTTGAGCTAAAACGTTGCTGTTATTGTAGTGAAGGCACAAACCCGAGCGAGTCAGTCCTAGATGGTGTACAGAACTCCCTTTTCAAATACCATAACTTCCTATTCAAATGCCAAAAAGGCTCCGTTTTCAAAAGCCACAACTCCCTTTTCAAATGCCAAAACTCCCTTTTCAAATGCCAGAACTCGCTTTCAAATGCCAGAACTCCCTTTTCAAATGCCAAAACAGAACTCCCTTTCAAATGCCAAAACTCCCTTTTCAAATGCCAAAACTCCCTTTTCAAATGCCAGCACTCCCTTTTCAAATGCCAAAACTCTCTTTTCAAATGCCAGAACTATACCTTTTCAAAAGCTAGATGGTGTATACAATCTTCATAAGTGTGCTTTTCTTTACATCAGAGTCGTTCAGACATGAAGTCCGACACTGGCAAGTTCCCGTCACGTTCCTTCATAGAGGAAGAACCTGAATCTGTGATGAGTGAAGACATCAGCTCAGAAAGACCCGTGGAAACGTTAAAGAAAATGTTATTTACTGTACAACGTCTGACTCACTCCAGTGAAGAAAATTCTGATCAGGGCGTAGATGATCACTCGGCGTTTGAAACGCAAAGCGAAAGTTTAACTGAAGGTGAATAACAATAGTTGTATACATCTATATCTTACTTGCCACAGCTTTTTCTGACAATCTACGTCTTTGTTTTGATATAAAATATAAGATTTCTCCAATTATCTGTTTTAGAAGTCCTATCAGATATTTTATCCACTGCAAGTCGCAATGAAGGCCAAGATTCCTTATCCAGGTAAGACTGTTCGAGTCGGTATTTAATATTAGGTAACTGAGTAACAGCAAATTCTGTATACTATAGGTATAACTCACATTCAAGAACATGTACTACCTCTGCATGATCTAACCATGCTTAACTCAGCAGTGAGTTCTGTACAACATCAGATCACTTTAAGGTAGCTCACATTCAAGAACATGTACTACTTCTGCATGATCTAACCATGTTTAACTCAGCAGTGAGTTCTGTACAACATCACATCACTTTAAAGTAGCTCACATTCAAGAACATGTACCACCTCTACATGATCTAACCATGCTTAACTTGTCAACTGGGACACATTCATGAGGGACTTGTTATTTAAGTCTAATTCATTTATCTTAATGTTCTAGGGCATATTACCACCTCGCACGGCTCAAGAGACTTGTGTCAGCGAGTAAGGAAGTTGCAGCATGGAAGTGAGGCCATCGCCCGTTCTGGTAACCTACGTCATAGCTAGAGTGTATGACGCAGTCATAGTGTGTATCACGTAGCAAACCGATGTGTTTGTTGTGGATTCGTTGCGTTTTCAAAAGTTAGTTCCACTCTGGAGAGACCTTTTTCGAAATTCGTTTTTCTCCGGAAACGTGTGGACGGAAGACGTAACGGCAACAAAATGTTTGAAATGTGTCCAAACTTCATCTCTGTGGTCGAGGAGTTCGATTTCCGCATTGGCCTGAAGTATGATGTGTAGAGCTGCAGAGACAGCAATCTGCTAGAGCTATATTCAATTGAAATAAAGTTCATATTACTTGACATAACACAATTTTATGTATACAGAGTGACCCCATCAGTGGTACTGTTATCACTGGGGAGTAAAATAAGAGTTAGTACAGAAGTTTACTACACTGATAAAAAGTTTTACAACACTGGAAAAAATACAAATATCTAATATTAACTTAAGCCCTGTTTACACTACGCTCAATTTTTGGTACGGCACGGATAAAATTGGTACCCGTACCACTTTTTTGATTCTTGGACTACCTATTTAGGTAGTCCAAGAACCAAAAAGTGGTACGGTACCAAAAATTGAGCGTAGTGTAAACGGGGCTAAGCTAAATAGGTAATCCAAGAACCAAAAAAGTGGTACGGGTACCAATTTTATCCGTGCCGTACCAAAAATTGAGCATAGTGTAAACGAGGCTAAGCTAAATAGGTAGTCCAAGAACCAAAAAAGTGGTACGGGTACCAATTTTATCCATGCCGTACCAAAAATTGAGCGTAGTGTAAACGAGGCTAAGCTAAATAGGTAGTCCAAGAACCAAAAAAGTGGTACGGGTACCAATTTTATCCGTGCTGTACCAAAAATTGAGCGTAGTGTAAACGGGGCTAAGCTAAATAGGTAGTCCAAGAACCAAAAAAGTGGTACGGGTACCAATTTTATCCGTGCTGTACCAAAAATTGAGCGTAGTGCCTGAAACGGGGCTTTAATCTAGATTAAGTGCTTTCTGTCGGTCTGAGAGAAGCCTGCCAGGGATCTCTTTTTTAAGCCTGTTTATACTTGCAATTTTTGCTGACATTTCTAGTACGATTTTCTCGTTCTGATGCATGTGAACGTGTATAGATGAGTGACGAATGTTCGGAGTATATGTACCCTCATGTGAACATTCCTAACTTATTCATATCCATCAGAAGATGAAAATCACAGCAATAATTGCAAGTGTAAACAATTAGGTATGCAATTAGGTAGGCTAATTGGTAGTTCCATCCCTTCCAACGAAATCTTGTTAAGGCTATTATATTGAACGGCGCCCATATAATAGAACCCACGCTTTGACACCTCAAGCTTAACCTTAGTAAAGTGATATCCTTTATGTTCCTGGTCTTATGCGAGCTACGTGACTCAATTAGTTAAAAATAATAAAGTAAATAAGGTGGAGCATCGCTAATAAGGACAATGAGGTATTTCGTAACAGCAATCAACTACATGTATTTTGGCTGCACCATCACAATGTGGTTGCCTGCTCGCAGCCTTTCCCTTTCAAAATATCAGGCTGCGAGCACCGTCACTTTCCCTTTCAAAATATCAGGCTGCGAGCAGGCTAACCATGTAGTTGCTGGGTTTTATTTGAAACAGTCTGATTTCCATATGGTCGTAACGGTCGTAAACATTGAGTCACGATCTTTCTCATCAGGCGAAATACAACATTTTAGAACTGAAAATACCAACATTTTAGAACTGAAAATACAACATTTTAGAACTGGAAATACCAACATTTTAGAACTGGAAATAGAGATTATAACTAGAGAATACTTATAGTTTATATGTGGTTTACAGGTATAAACTATTACAAACTGGCCGTTGACTGTTGTCAGTGTTGTGGCAAATTGAGAATGTAGACTTGTAGTTTAATTTCCTTGCTTCTGTAAGTCAATTATCATTTCCGACGTTGACAAATTAAGACTTGACCACATGTGTTCTGCAACGCTGATTGAATCTTGGCAATACTGATTTGGTCATAATCTGATTAAATAATGAGAAATCGTAGGCGAAGATTAATATCCACTTTCTTAGATGGGCTTTGATGCGTGCAGTCTTGTGATTTCTTAATGCCTTAATGGTATAATTGAATCTCTCAGAATAGCAGGATTCTTTGTATCCTAACAATATGTGACCATATGCATGTGCAACGTTGTCAGAGCTATTATTAAACCATGTGCTTTTATTAAACGGGTACCACAGTGAGAGAACTGTGCACTTAAGAGCAGAAAAAGAGAAATCTTACTCAGTCTTCGTTGGAATACCTGTTTCAAGTGATCTTCCTAACGCCTTTTCCGCAGTACAAATCATCTTTGTTTTTCTTGCGTCATCCGGCTGGCAAGAGAACGGCAATTGCTAGATAGTATACTTCAAAATAAGGTTTCCGTTTTTATATTAATTTTTAAAATAAGTTAGGGTTAGGTTAGGGTTGGGGTTAGGTTAGGGTTAGTATTAGGGCTAAGGTTAGTATTAGGGTTGGGGTTTAGTTTTGCGTTAGAATGTTTTTTTTTCTACGTTATAAAAACGGAAACCTTATTTTGAGGTATACTTTCTAGCAATCACCCAAGAGAACACGTGTTGCGTGGGTGTTCATTCAACGTACGGGTACGCTGTGCCTAGCATACTAAATATCAAAACAACGTTACTCCGTTGAGCTCTAGTGCCGCTCGAAAGCAGCTTTGAGTGTGCTTTTTTTACCGTTTATACACAATTTAAAGCTTGCACGAGTTTACCATGGCTAGCTTGCTGTTCTTGTTGTTATTTGGAGGAATTTTGAGCAGTTTTCAAGCGATATTAGTTTCAAGCGGTAAGTGAACCTATAAACATTTTTAATCCTTTATAATTTGAGCACTTTATATACACTTCAATACTTGGCGTATTAAATAATACTACTGTACTTCTTAATATATCATGTGTTACATCAGTCTGAGTTAGTTTGGCAGTACAGTTTTATGTCTGTATTTTTCTAAAAGCAAGAAGCTCTTTCAAAAAATAGTCTATGAGAGTCAGACTATGTTGTATATGGTTGAAATTTTAATAAGAGTTGATGAGAGATTGAGAATGTTCGCAGTTCGCTACCTACGCAGTAATATCCAAATAGTAATATCTCGTCTGACCAGGCCATGAGAGTTGAGAAAACTCTCATGCCAACTCTTGCTTCTCAACTCACCAGGGCTGTAGACGGACCAACATTATAAACAAAAAAGGAGGCATTTAATTGAGGTTACATTGCTACTATATGGGTTAACGGGAGACATGAGCACCAGACTGTAAAGTATTATTTTTGCGCGGGGAACTTTTCCGTCGTAAATGGCAGTTGCGCGGAAATGAAGGCGGAACATTTGAGAATGGTTGCATAAGTGAGTTCCACAAGCTGCCACCATGGTTGGCGTCGAGCAGAAAAATGTCGAAAATTTGGACTCTCTAGATTGTCTGAATGGGCTTTTCAGAGTTTTCTCCACCTATTTTTGCAGGGCCCAACACATAAGAGACAAAATTAATAAGTAGTTCATCAAAAATATGCAGATTTTGTAGGATTTTCTTGAAAATGGGTGGACAGAAATTCAGCTGAAATTCTGTGTGGCGAACCTGCTTCCCTGCGCAGGCCAAACTTTACAGTCGGGCATGGGCATGCACTTTCCCTCGATGAGTGAATCATCTGTTCGACAGAGTACAAGGCCAAGTAAAAAAAAATGGTAGTTTCTCATCTGAATTTTGAAAAAAAAGGAGAATGTGGGCAATTTTTTTTTTGTTAATTAAACCTTCAAATATTGCTCTTAAAGTTTACCGAATACCGTAAACTTCCGAATATAAGCCCCCCCCCCGAATATAAGCCCCCCCGTCTATAAGCCCATCAAATTACTAACGTTCACACCATTCCGTATATAAGCCCCCCGAATATAAGCCCCCCGAATATAAGCCCACCCCTACATAGGCCCACCCGTATATAAGCCCATCACACTATAATACCGGTAAATTACACAAAATAATCCACTACATTGCATTAAATTTCAACTAAGACTACGTCTACGGTATGTATTTATTTAAACAAAGGTTACTGATGCCTCTTCTGAATCTGATTCTTCAAGTACTGTCAGTGATACAGACGGCTAAGACTGTTAACGTACCTGGTATCGGCTATGAGGACGTTTTATAAGACATGGATGGCCCACAAAAACCGCGTTCATATAGAAACTATAGAAACTATACTATAATCGCGTCTCGTTGATGACAGTCAGTGTTCTATTATTTTTTGTTTAAAATTGCTAAAATTTAACAATAAACAGCGTGTTTTCTTACTATTAACCTAAGATGTGGTCCGTGTATAATCCCCCCCCCCCGTATATAAGCCCCCCCCCCATGTATAAGCCCATCAAAAAAGGCTTATGAAATTATATAAGCCCAGGGCTTATATTCGGAAGTTTACGACTGAAAATTGCAAACTTCGCAGGGCTATATTATCCGCATTTTACAACATTTCGCAACGAAACTTCGACATATTACTAATTTTGTGATGCTCTTTCAAGCTGTGCTGAATTTTTTGTCTAGACTTGTCTAGATCAAAATTTTAGTTATAAGGTTAAAGGTCCATCGATCGTGCCATAATTATAAATTAATTATAAATCATTTATGAATATTTTATGAAGTTTTCGGCTAGTCAATGGGAATTTCTTACTTCTGCAATCAAAAATCGCATGCCATAACATCATGTAATTGTAGACAGTAAAAACAACGAAAAACTACAGTTAAGTATAAACTATAGGTTATCATATGAGGGGAGAGGCGATATATCGGTTTTATCGCTTGAGGGACGATATATGATATCGTCTTGTCAGCGATAAAACCGATGTCGCCTCGTCCCGAAGTGATTATCTGTTTATTATATATACTTTTCAGGGTCAGAATTTATTAGAATATTAATTATTGACATTGTTCGAATGCAACAATTATATTCAAACAGCAGGACAAAAAGCGATATTAGTGTGGCAATGACAAAAAAACGATATCAGTATTAACAAAAAAACAATATTAGTATTAACAAAAAAACAAATTTTACGCCCTGATAAAGGCACAATTATGTGATAAAATATAATAAATGTATCATACAATACCATTTTTGCTTTCTTCGAACTGATCCTGGTTTCTGAAAGTAAAGTATTGCCATTTGTCCCGTTCCATTGTTTTTATATACCATGCTGTTCATACCGCCCCCGTAATCAACAAACCATGTCAAGTTATTTTTGACCACTAGTTTATAAACAATCCCATGAAATCAGTTTACAGTATTCGATGATGTTCCTGTAGATGCGTTGCAGCGCTTGAACCGGCAAAACAACGATCGACGTCATCGCAAAAACATGTACAGTACCTTGTGAAAGTCATTTGCATCTTTCAGCCTGTTCCAGCAAGATAGATTGTCAACATTACATTTACATGATAATGCAGTTTCCTTACAAACGGTTCAAGATGTGTCAGGCAAACGAAATTCGAACACGCATGTTTAACTCCCTGCAGCCTGACGCCTTTTTTATGCATTATTTGTAGGTGAGTTATATCGATTGCATGGGAAAGGAACAAATTCAGATCCAAGCTTGAGCAAAAACTTGAGATCCGGTTCCGTCGAATAGCAGACAATATACTACAAAATTCGCTCATGGGTTATCCAATTTTGGAATCAATTGTGAAAGAAAAAATTTAGGCAATGAACGGCATAATTATATGAAAAAACGTCAGCATATTATAATGGTCAATGTAGTGGTCTTAAAACATAGCAATGTCAGCCAATGAATTATGGCTTCATGCCATGAAGATGGCTCTGTATATAGGATTTTATCTTTCGGCAACAATATTCAAGCTTTGCCTTACGTTCTAGTAGTCATGTCTTGCACAATAACCATATGTAACCGATTTTCCTTGGTTACAGTACATATATGTATGATGGTGAATATTTATATTAAGCCAAGTCAAGAAATTAGTAGCATTGACTCAGTCAGACTAATTCAGTATAGTATAGTATAGTATTACAAATCGTGGTGAGATCGTCACTGACGGCTTGAGTGAGCCACTTAAACTGAAACAGGATATCCTAATCTAAACAGTGCATAGAAAACATTATTCATTTCAGGGTGGCACACTGATATTGATCGTCCTCAGCACTTATAGCAGGCACGGTTAGGGCGAAATCAACACCAACCAAGTTTCCAAAATCAATGAATAGGATCGTCATGTTGTTTTCCGTAAAGACCGTAAAGCTAGAACAGTAGAAGGATGAAGGCATTGGAATGTTGAGTGGGCATGCCCACTAAGTTTCGCTTCGGCGTATTAATTTAAAGTGCAAGCTTGTACATACCTAGAGCTAAAGTATGCATGTATTATGTATGTACTAAATAACCAACTTCCTGGGTGGAAGTACAAACTAAATCCGCATGGCAATGTACTGAGATACTGTATACCGAGAAAACAGTACGTCTTTGGCAGTGCAATAATTAAAAGGTTTTGGTACATAAAGTCGACAAAATAATATTTCATTATTATGGATATGGCCAGAAAAGAGTTATGATGACCTTGTCACCTTGCCGGTAAACATAAAGTTTATTATTATTAATTCTATAGAACCGAGGAGAAATTTTAAACTTATTTTGAAGAGTGATATTGATCAATAATTGCTAGCTAAATTAAATAAAATAAACGAATGTATACGGTTAGTGTGATGAATTTAGTGTACAACCATAGTTATCATGAGGTTAAATTCAAATGAAAAGCCGAAAACTTGGTTTTCAAGACGCTAACTTCAATGAGATAAAATTACTTTTATTACACTGTAAATTCAAAGGAGTCAAAACAACCCTAAAAAAAGAATCGTAATTGGTTGTTCCCTCAAACTTTGTCTTTGTTGAATGTTGATTCTTGAATTTACAGCGTACACAAGTTGTAGACGTGACGAACGCCCCCTGCGCCACTAAATTATGTATAGGTTATTTTGAGGCAACGAGGGGATATGTGATTTATTCACCGAGGCGCGTAGCGCCGAGGTGAATAAACACATATTCCCGAGGTGCCTCAAAATAACGTACTTATTTTCACACTGCGAGGTCGCATTAATGAGTAAGAATAGAAATAATTCTTAATGTCATATTGCCTTGGTTATGTCGTTTTTTTCTCATTTTTTTGTGATGCAAAGACATTGCAGGTGAATATTAGAGGGGATTATTAATTGCAGGTGAATATTAGAGGGGATTATTAAACGGAAATTGATTAGAGGTGAATATTGAATATATTCCCCGATAAGAACAAAAGAAACCGAGCAGGGTGAAAAATAACTACAAATATCCCATCGGAATTTTTTTGTGCGAAGTCCACCAATCACAAACAGGCTTACTTGCGGTCTGAAAAGTTTCGCGTGAGATGTCAATGGAAGACGTGACATGTTTTGCGACCTGCAATGCGATTATATTATCCGTTTTGAATTACGAAAGAATTTTTCAAATATATCCCGGTCATCTGATCATGCAGTAATCTATGAAAATCATGGGGAGGATGATAATTCGCCGATTTTTCAACCATTATTTATACCAGACTTTATAGCGGGTGTATATTTATATATGTTTAGGTTTCGTTGTGATTTTTGATAAAAAAAAAACAGAGTATAAATTCCAATCTCAGCAAGTTATCACATAAGACACAACATGTTTTGCCCTACCTGCAATGAGTATATTTATTCGTTTTCAATTACGAAATAATTTTTCCAGATCAAGCTTTAATCTTATTGATCAAGTTTTAATCTCATTTGAGGAAGTAAAAGTTCAAAACAGTTCAGAAATATTTTGAACAGATAATCTACGTTTTTGGCTTTGACGCGCCAAATGACGCAGTTCCCAAATTTGGAGCTACCACACGCTAGTTCCAGTTTTCGTCGGCACTTCCGCTCTTGGAAGGCCATTCTTGGGTTATTTTCTATATTAGCGACAAACTTATAACCCCCAAAGACCGAGCCTATAAAGCCGGTTTTTCACTAGCGAATTATCTCGCGCGAAGCGACTATTTGCAGAATTTGCTTTTGTCTTTGAGCTTTCGGCTGGAACAATTTGGAACTTAATTTATAGTTTTGGACAAAAGAATAAAGTCGATTCGCGTGAAAAATTCGCAAGTGTAAAACTGCATGGCCGGCATAAAATGCGATGAATCTCGATTAAAATAGCGTTATAAGATGCTCCGTACATCAAACTTTTGTATTCCATGCACAGGTAACTATAACGGCGTATTTGTAACGTACGAAGTGCGAGAACGAGGTCTTGCTATAGAGGTCGTAATCCTCTAGGGCTAGGCCTTGTAAATCTATATATGGCCAATTATAAATAAAACAAGACGCCTGCTCAGGCGTTCACACTGACCTGAAAATGGCGACATACGTGCTATAGTGCAAGTTCGTGCAATATAGACAAAGAATACATATCGTGAACCGCAAACGCATGAAAAGCTGAAAGCGTGGCGTGATGCTGAGGAGATGTTTTCGTAATGTTCAATGAAACAGAAGTATTACTACAAAATACAAACGTTATCCATAAATACACATAGTCTCTGAGCATGCTATGCGCTAGTCAGTGTAAAAAATAGCTAGGTCAGTGTAAAAAATAGCAGCATAGTCGGAGGCTTGCTCGCCAGCAACACGATATACCTTTTGTTTGAAATAAAGTTTGATATGTTTCGTGATTCTAATATATTCTTGCAAGGCAAGTTGTGGTGGTGTATTTTCACCGTGTTTGACGCGCAGCGTTACAAAAACATAATTATGCACTAAATATACAGTGAAAAGATAAATTGAAACTAATTTTATTGATCCAAAGTACGGATTATAGTCACTGGGTAATAAGCGGATTTTGAAACTTTAGGACTTGCATAAATTTATGAGAGGCGGGACAGGAAGACGATTGGGTGTGGGACACGGTCATGCATTTCTCGGTATATTGTTCGCGTTCCGTTAATATAAGGAACGGGACGTTTTTCATCCCACCCTCCAAGGTAGGATGTCGGTTTCAAGCCAACTCACTCACAATAGTTTAGGAGTTTTTAATTTTTACTATAAATCACGCCACTTCTATACAAATAAAAAGACTAAGGGAAAGTACATTTATTATGCCGGGGGGGGGGAGGATGAAGATGTTAAGGGGGGCACCGAAATATTTTCTGGCATTAAAGGGGGGCTCTGAAAGTTCTCGATATACTGAAAGGGGGGGGGGCTATAAACTTTTCAAAGTTTTGGTCGAGCAGGAGCCTGGAGTGTTCACTCCCACCATATTTAATAGAATAGATGGTTTGGAAACTCATTAGAATAACAATATAACTCATTACCAATGTTAGTGCACAATAACATTCACTGAAT